TAGCCATAGCCACTCAAGAGGAGGGGGTTTTTTAGTGCCAGGAAGGAAAAAAAAACTGGCAGGAAATGGCAGAAATCGTACACCAAATCCAGTCATTCCTGGAGTGGAACCACAGTCGATGGCCTCCACTCCAAACCAACAGATACAGATACTAATGCTGGAAAAAAATCCCCCCCAGTACCAACAATACCACCAGTCCGATAACATTTTTTTGCAAATATACAGGGTCTAAAGCCAGCAACAAACAACAAAATACCTTTCATCCGTTTGGGCTGCTTGCAGAGGCAAAGGCAATGTTCGCGGCTTTCACTGAGACCCCCATAAAGGATCACTTGGACAACGAAATATGGATCCCGGTTACAACCTATACAGATGTGACAGAGTGAACAGGAAAAAGGGGGGGGTTGGCCGTACATTGCAGAGTCACTTGTTTGCACAGAACTGCTTAATGCCTCAAATGACGTAGTGGAAGTTTTAGCAGTAAAGGTCGAGAACCAAAACCTAGTCATTGTGGTAGTCTACAAGCCTCCGGATGCAACATCCCAGCAATTCCAGGAACAGCTGTTAAAAATTGACCACGTCTGGAAAATCTTCCAGCTCCTGCACCAACATCTTGCTCCTGGGGGATTTCAACTTAAGGCACCTAAAATGGAGGAATATAGCAAATAATATTGTTGCAGTAATAACACCAGGAGGCAGCTCTGATGAAAACTCACACTCACACGAGCTTTTAAATCTCTGCACAAATTCAATTTAAACCAGCAAATAATAGAGCCTACTAGACTGGAGAATACACTAGACCTCATATTCACTAACAATGATGATCTGATAAGAAATGTCACCATATCAAAAACAATATACTCAGATCACAACATAATTGAGGTTCAGACATGTATGCGTGGAGCCCCAGACCGACAAAATGAGACTAGTCACGAGGGAGCATTCACCAAATTCAACTTCAATAACAAAAACATAAAGTGGGACCAAGTAAACCAAGTCCTAACCGATATAAGCTGGGAAGATATACTAAGCAACACAGACCCAAACTTATGCCTAGAACAGATTAACTCGGTGGCACTCGATGTATGCACAAGGCTTATTCCTCTAAGAAAAAGGAGGAGTAGATGTAAAATAGAAAGAGACAGGCGCTCCCTTTACAGGCGACGGAAAAGAATAACAGAGCGGCTAAAAGAGGTCAATATATCTGAAATGCGTAGGGAGACACTGGTCAGAGAAATAGCAAGCATCGAACTTAAGCTAAAAGAATCCTTTAGGAGTCAGGAATCGCGGAAAGAACTAAAAGCTATAAATGAAATCGAAAGAAACCCAAAGTATTTCTTCTCCTATGCCAAATCAAAATCGAGAACAACGCCCAGTATTGGGCCCCTACTTAAACAAGATGGGTCCTACACAGATGACAGCAAGGAAATGAGTGAGCTACTCAAGTCCCAATATGACTCAGTTTTTAGCAAGCCGCTAACCAGACTGAGAGTCGAAGATCAAAATGAATTTTTTATGAGAGGGCCACAAAATTTGATTAACACAAGCCTATCCGATGTTATCCTGACGCCAAATGACTTCGAACAGGCGATAAATGACATGCCATGCACTCTGCCCCAGGGCCAGACTCATGGAACTCTGTGTTCATCAAGAACTGCAAGAAGCCCCTATCACGAGCCTTTTCATCCTATGGAGAGGGAGCATGGACACGGGGGTCGTCCCTCAGTTACTAAAAACAACAGACATAGCCCACTCCACAAAGGGGGCAGTAAAGCAACAGCAAAGAACTACAGACCAATAGCACTACATCCCATATCATAAAAATCTTTGAAAGGGTCCTAAGAAGCAAGATCACCACCATCTAGAAACCCATCAGTTACACAACCCAGGGCAACATGGGTTTAGAACAGGTCGCTCCTGTCTGTCTCAACTACTGGATCACTACGACAAGGTCCTAAATGCACTAGAAGACAAAAAGAATGCAGATGTAATATATACAGACTTTGCAAAAGCCTTCGACAAGTGTGACCATGGCGTAATAGCGCACAAAATGCGCGCTAAAGGAATAACAGGAAAAGTCGGTCGATGGATCTATAATTTCCTCACTAACAGAACACAGAGAGTAGTCGTCAAAAGAGTAAAGTCCGAGGCAGCTACGGTGAAAAGCTCTGTTCCACAAGGCACAGTACTAGCTCCCATCTTGTTCCTCATCCTCATATCCGACATAGACAAGGATGTCAGCCACAGCACCGTTTTCTTCCTTTGCAGATGACACCCGAATCTGCATGACAGTGTCTTCCATTGCGACACTGCAAGGCTCCAGGCGGACATCAACCCAAACTTTCAGTGGGCGCAGAAAAAAAAATAAGTTCAACGTGAGAAATTTCAAAATTTTCAATTGGTAAACATGAGGGGAAATTAAATCTTCTCAGAGTACAAAAAAATTCTGGCCACAAAATAGAGCGAAACACCAAATCAAAGACCCAGGGATTAGTCGGAGGATCCACTTCAAGACCTAACATTGTATAAAGCATCTGCTAGAAAAATGCAGGTGGATAAGGAACCTTCAAAATAGGGGGGGCCCAACCCCCGATGACACTTTCAGGGCACTTGTTCTATCTAGGCTGGAATATTGCTGCACCCAACAGCACCTTTTAAGGCAGGGGAAATTTCCCACCTAGAAAAAGTACGAGAACTTTCACGGCCGGGATAACGGAGATAAAACACCTCAATTTGGGGGCGCTTGAGGTTTCTAAACCCGTATTCCCTGGAACGCAGGAGGGAAGTGATACATGATTTTATACACCTGGAAAATCCTAGAGGGACTAGTACCGAACTTGCACACGAAAATCACTCACTACGAAAGCAAAAGACTTGGCAGACGATGCACCATCCCCCCAATGAAAAGCAGGTGTGTCACTAGCACGTTAAGAGACCATACAATAAGTGTCAGGGGCCCGAGACTGTTCAACTGCCTCCCAGCACACATAAGGGGGATTACCAACAGACCCCTGGCAGTCTTCAAGCTGGCACTGGACAAGCACCTAAAGTCAGTTCCTGATCAGCCAGGCTGTGGCTCGTATGTTGGTTTGCATGCAGCCAGCAGCAACAGCCTGGTTGATCAGGCGCTGATCCACCAGGAGGCCTGGTCACAGACCGGGCCGCGGGGGCGTTGACCCCCGAAACTCTCTCCAGGTAAACTCCAGGTAAACACTAGCAAGCCAGGAAGATTATTAAAAACAGCTGACCTGTGGTAAGTTTCTGGCGACTTCTGGCACCTGCCTCTATAGGCTTATCACTTCATTTACAAATTCACCTGTTTTCAAATGACACTTTAGCCTTTATCATCAATATACTAGGGAGCCACTGTAGTATACACTATGCACTATGTATACTCAATGTTATCAGGGAGACTTTCTTTCCTCTGACACGAAAAGTTCAATTATTATTATTTTTTCCACACGGGACACAGGCCTATGATTCCCCTCTGGCAGTAAACTCTGCTAGGTAGTGCACACTAAATCTCCTTTTTTGACTCAGTATATAATGTTTTCCGCCCAAGATTGGTTCCAGGCGCTAGAGGGATGTATCGTATAGGATTGATGACACAAATTAAAGTTCTAGCACGTAAGAGCGACCGTGAAAACACAAGAAAACCCGGAGCACAACGAGGCACGCTGACACGCTGAGGTGTCAATGTGTAGTTTGCTAGTTCCTTTCTGATAATGTTTAGTAAATTTCTGTCTGAAAAAAAAGGTGTCCCGTAGCTCAATCGCTAGCGCACTCAGCTCACACACTGAGGTCCGTTATTGCTGGAAAACATAAGGACGTGTTTCCATAAGACACCTGCTGTTCATGTCCCTGTTCACCTATCAGTAAAATGGGTACCTGGGTGTTAGTTGACTGGTGTTTACCTGGAGAGAGTTCCGGGGGTCAACGCCCCCGCGGCCCGGTCTGTGACCAGGCCTCCTGGTGGATCAGAGCCTGATCAACCAGGCTGTTGCTGCTGGCTGCACACAAACCAACGTACGAGCCACAGCCCGGCTGGTCAGGAACCGACTTTAGGTGCTTGTCCAGTGCCAGCTTGAAGACTGCCAGGGGTCTGTTGGTAATCCCCCTTATGTATGCTGGGAGGCAGTTGAACAGTCTCGGGCCCCTGACACTTATTGTATGGTCTCTTAACGTGCTAATGACACCCCTGCTTTTCATTGGGGGGAGGGGTTGCATCGCTGCAAGTCTTTTGCTTTCGTATTTGAGTGATTTTCGTGTGCAAGTTCGGTACTAGTCCCTCTAGGATTTTCAGGTGTATAAATCATGTATCTCTCCCTCCTGCATTCCAGGGAATACGGTTTAGGAACCTCAAGCGCTCCCAGTAATTGAGGTGTTTTATCTCCGTTATTGCGCGCCGTGAAGGTTCTCTGTACATTTTCTAGGTCAGCAATTTCACCTGCCTTGAAAGGTGCTGTTAGTGTGCAGCAATATTCCAGCCTAGATAGAACAAGTGACCTGAAGAGTGTCATCATGGGCTTGGCCTTCCTAGTTTTGAAGGTTCTCATTATCCATCCTGTCATTTTTCTAGCAGATGCGATTGATACAATGTTATGGTCCTTGAAGGTGAGATCCTCCGACATGATCACTCCCAGGTCTTTCACGTTGATGTTTCGCTCTATTTTGTGTGGGTCGCATCCCGGGACAAAACTGACCTAATTTGCCCGAAATGCTCTACATAATAACCGGCTTTTCATACAGTAGTATGTCATTGATGTCAGCTAGGACTGTATACCTTGTACATGTACCTGTAGTAAATAAAGATATTATATTATTAAAAAAAATTGTTACGAACATCCCTGCTTTCACGTATGGAATTAAGTCACTCTATCTGACTTTTTTGGGTTATCCTAGGTTCTCTACACATATGCTGCTATGTATGATAATTCTATGTAACTGTATTTGTGTATACCTGAATAAACTTACTTGGAGACGGTGTCTCCTGCGAGCTGAGGAAGGCCGGGCACCACACGGCGTCAACTGTCAGTGACTCTATAAACCCCCAACAACACGGAGACGATTGATATGTGTGGTAAGTATCATTGGCTGTACTTTATTATTTAACTGCAGAAAGATTGTGGAAGTGCCAGAAACGGGAAAAAAATGATGCTGTGCTATGGTGATAGTGAATATCTTATTGTGCGGCGTGATCTACTAGTTTGATGTCCCATACTCACACTGTGTCCGTGGTTCGATCCCCGGCACGTGTGGAAATGTTTCCTTACACCTGCTGTCACTGTTCACCTAGTAGTAAGTAGGTACCTGGGTGTTAGTTACCTTATACCTGATGTCCCTGTTCACCTAGTAGTAAGTAGGTACCTGGGTGTTAGTTACTTTATACCTGATGTCTCTGTTCACCCAGTAGTAGGTAGGTACCTGGGTGTTAATTACCTTATACCTGATGTCCCTGTTCACCTAGTAGTAAGTAGGTACCTGGGTGTTAGTTACTTTATACCTGATGTCTCTGTTCACCTAGTAGTAGGTAGGTACCTGGGTGTTAATTACCTTATACCTGCTGTCCCTGTTCACCTAGCAGTAAGTAGGTACCTTGGTGGTAGTCACTTTACACCTGCTGTTCCTCTTCACCTAGCAGTAAGTAGGTACCTGGATGTTAGTTACCTTATACCTGATGTCCCTGTTCACCTAGTAGTAAATACGTACCTGGGTGTTAGTTACCTTATACCTGTTGTCCCTGTTCACCTAGCAGTAAGTAGGTACCTTGGTGTTAGTCACTTTACACCTGCTGTTCCTCTTCACCTAGCAGTAAGTAGGTACCTGGGTGTTAGTTACCTTATACCTGCTGTCCCTGTTCACCTAGCAGTAAGTAGGTACCTTGGTATTAGTCACTTTACACCCGCATTAATTTAACTTAAGATCACTGAATCATTTTAAATGCATCCTTAAAATTGTACTACTTTCATTTATCTACCTCTTTTTTGTATTAATGCATATTTAAAATTGTCCTATTGTTCACTTAGCTACTTCAGGTTTGTACATTTAAAAATTACTCAGTAGCTTATGTCTAGTTCTTAAGCAGTGTGTGAACATTAGTATTAGTCTGATCGAAATGAACTGCATACTAATGGCTTTCTTTTGTCCTTTAACCCTTAAACTGTCCAAACAGATTTACGTTCACATGCGTAGTGCTCCAAAAGTAGATCTTCGGTTTTTTACATATTTTCAAATATAACAAAAAAAAAGTAATTCAAAGTTTTTTTTACACATTTTCAAATGTAAAAAAAAAAATTACGTTTTTTTTTACATACTTTCAAATGTTGAAAAAACGTAGATCTACGTTTGGACAGTTTAAGGGTTAACAGTATTTTATTGCATGTAAACTGCATTTTGTATACTGCAGAAAAAATAAAGTTTGTCTGTTTGACTTTCTTGGGTTATCCTAGGTGGATAACCTTCCTATGTTAAAAATACTGCCCCCCCCCCCAAAAAAAAAATCTTCCTCATTTTGTGAGCAATATAGTGCATCCCTTGGTTATGTTGTGAGCTGTATTGTGCATCCCATATTTATGGTAAGATGAGGTAAGATAATATTTGTTCACATTTTTAATCTGGGGAGGGATAGCCACCGAGCATTGTGCATCCCTTGTTCATGCTGTGAGCAGTATTGTTCATTCCATGCTGTGAGCAGTATTGTTCATTCCATGCTGTGAGCAGTATTGTTCATTCCATGCTGTGAGCAGTGTTCATTCCATGCTGTGAGCAGTATTGTTCATTCCATGCTGTGAGCAGTATTGTTCATTCCATGCTGTGAGCAGTGTTCATTCCATACTGTGAGCAGTGTTGTTCATTCCATGCTGTGAGTAGTATTGTTCATTCCATGCTGTGAGCAGTATTGTTCATTCCATACTGTGAACAGTGTTGTTCATTCCATGCTGTGAGTAGTGTTCATTCCATGCTGTGAGCAGTATTGTTCATTCCATGCTGTGAGCAGTATTGTTCATTCCATGCTGTGAGCAGTATTGTTCATTCCATGCTGTGAGCAGTGTTCATTCCATACTGTGAGCAGTGTTGTTCATTCCATGCTGTGAGCAGTGTTGTTCATTCCATGCTGTGAGCAGTGTTCATTCCATGCTGTGAGCAGTATTGTTCATTCCATGCTGTGAGCAGTGTTCATTCCATACTGTGAGCAGTGTTGTTCATTCCATGCTGTGAGCAGTGTTGTTCATTCCAAGCTGTGAGCAGTATTGTTCATTCCATGCTGTGAGCAGTATTGTTCATTCCATGCTGTGAGCAGTATTCATTCCATACTGTGAGCAGTGTTGTTCATTCCATGCTGTGAATAGTATTGTTCATTCTTGCTGTGAGCAGTGTTGTTCATTCCATGCTGTGAGTAGTATTGTTCATTCCATGCTGTGAGCAGTGTTCATTCCATGCTGTGAGCAGTGTTGTTCATTCCATGCTGTGAGCAGTATTGTTCATTCCATGCTGTGAGCAGTATCACAGGCATTAGTCTTCATTACTGCTTGAGGCATATTAATGTACACTGTCACCGTTACTGCCATCTTCACCACACCATCATACATACTTGCACATATGTACTTGTATACATGTACATTCAGAATTCTGAAGTATTGATACAATATTTTTTATTTTTAATAAGTGTACACATTTTAAAATGTAATGTAGCATGTGGTCCTGTCTCTGTCCACATTTTACACTGTATGTTGTAGTGCGTGGCCCTGTCTTGATCCACACTGAGCACTGTATGTTGTAGTGTGTGTGGCCCTGTCTCTGTCCACACTGAACACTGTATGTGTAGTGTATGGCCCTGTCTCTGTCCATGCTGAGCACTATGTTGTAGTGTGTGGCCCTGTCTCTGTTCACACTTTGTAGTGTATTGGTATAGTTGTAGTGTGCGGCCCTGTCTCTGTCCACACTGAACACAATGTTGTAGTGTGTGGCCCTGTCTCTGTCCACACTGAACACTGTATGTTGTAGTGTGTGGCCCTGTCTCTGTTCACACTTTGTAGTGTATGGTATAGTTGTAGTGTGCGGCCCTGTCTCTGTCCACACTGAACACTGTATGTTGTAGTGTGTGGCCCTGTCTCTGTCCACACTGAACACTGTATGTTGTAGTGTGTGGCCCTGTCTCTGTTCACACTTTGTAGTGTATGGTATAATTGTAGTGTGTGTGGCCCTGTCTCTGTCTACACTGAACACTGTATGTTGTAGTGTTTGGCCCTGTCTCTGTCCACACTGAACACTGTATGTTGTAGTGTGTGGCCCTGTCTCTGTCCACACTGAACACTGTATGTTGTAGTGCTTGGCCCTGTCTCAGTCCACACTGAACACTGTATGTTGTAGTGTGTGCCTCTGTCTCTGTCCATGCTGAGCACTGTATGTTGTAATGTGTGGCCCTGTCTCTGTCCACACTGAACACTGTATGTTGTAGTGTGTGGTCCTGTCTCTGTCCACATTAAACACTGTATGTTGTAGTGTGTGGCCCTGTCTCTGTCCACACTGAGCCCTGTATGTTGTAGTGTGTGGCCCTGTCTCTGTCCACACTGAGCACAGTATGTGTAGTGTGTGCCCTGTCTCTGTCAGTGCTAAACACTGTATGTAGTAGTGTGTGAGCCTGTCTCTGTTCACACTTTTTACTGTATGGTGTAGTTGTTTGTAGTGAGTGGCCCTGTCTCTGTCCACACTGAGCACTGTATGTTGTAGTTTGTGGCCCAGTCTCTGGCCACACTTAACACTGTATGTTGTTGTGTGTGGTCCTGTCTCTGGCCACACTTCACATTATATGTTGTAGTGTTTAGACTTGTCTGGCGACACTTTTCTTTGTATGTTGTAATGTAAGGCCTTGTTTCTGGCCACACTAGTGTGTGACCTTATCTCTGGCCACTTTACAGTGTATATTGCAGTGTATGGCCCTGCCTCTGTCTATACTTTACAGCTCATGTATAATGACTTTTCCCTAGAAACTGTACTGCAATATTTATTATTGCTGTACATGTATATTTTGTTTATTATGATATGTACATGAACCACTAAACACAGGGGTCATACAGTACCTAGGGATTGAGAGGCAATCAGGTTCAGTCCAAGGAAAGATAGCATAGGTCCAGTTCCTTGGATCAAGAGCTTACTAGCATCAGTTTACCTCCCTTAAGGAATTAGTGGTTAGCTAGTCTACTAAACTCGGCCTCTGGCTTATTTCTTAACATTCAGGGAAGGTATTTAAATCCAGGTAAAAATAACGACTTCCTGTACAAATTGGTAGTTTGGAGATATTAGTCGTATAAATTATGAGACGAAGAGTGTGGTCAATCATTGGCTAGTAGTCAGTTTTCCAAACTTCAATAATTATTGAAGTTTGGAGTTGAGCAGATTATAATCTGCTCAACTCACAACAAAATGCTTATCACCACAGGTTAGTGATACACTGGTACTCTTTTAAGACATAATATACTTTTGTTGTATCAACTTACTGTAAATAACATTTTACACCACAACTGTTTAAATTTAATATAAGGGCTGTCTGCCAGTTGCGGGGGTCAGAGGGAGGGTAGTAGGGACTCGCGGGTGGCGGGAAACTTAAATATGATTTGGCGCCTGGGAATTTAGCGGTTGGGAATTTGGCAGTTAGGAATTCGCGAATGTGTGATGCCTGTGAAAGTTGAAAACGTGAATGTTGAGGGAGACCTGTAATGGTTCTAGGGACTGGACCCCGAAGTTTTGATAGCTGAACAAGTTACAAAGGTAATGATTCATGTAAGTAAATTTACTTGCTTACGTTTATACATGGCTACAATCATGAATAAATTATAGAGTAATGAGCAATTTACATGTCCACACCTGGTGACAACTGGAATGAGTTAGTGGTGCAAATATTAATTGTTGGGTGTCTCTCTTATTGACAAGCTATTTACAGGTTAAGGATTCCTAACTTTATTGGCAAGCTAAGAGCTGTTACCTACATCAGCTCATTTGAAAGCATTTTTATTGTTATGAGACATACAAGTAGGGAACAGGATGAAGTTGGAGCCATCTGTGGGCCAGCCTTTTCATTTG